AGAAATAATGATCTATTATTGATTTCCTAGCCTTGTCTTCCTGCTTCAAGGAGAAGAAAAGGGACCATGAAACTTGCAGGAGGCTTCCAAGGTGACTAAGTGTTATGGTCCTCATGTGCATCAGGGACACCAAATAGGAGGTCCTATTGCCAGGCAGACAGAAACAGCTCCCAGCCTCTGAACAGCTAATCAGGAATGCTGCTCTCCATCCTATTCTGGACCTCCTAAATCAGTAAGCACTCTACACAGTAGGAGACAAAAAACACAATGTAGGCATACTTTAATCTTTCCATGTTTCTAGGATCTTATTAACAGGAGCAACCCCTCCATGGGTACAGATTGCAGCAGATAACAGAAAGCAATGAAAAACACTGGAAAATTACGGGAGATGATGCTGGCAGGGACCATTGTTAAGTTATGACTATAACTAAGACTACACAGATCTTTGGGGAAAGGGTTGCTCTTTGGACGTTGTCTTTACTTTTTACAAACTGAGCTGTGAGTTCTCTTTCATTTTCTAAGCTCCATTCACTCCCTACTGCCTCTAGGATTAAATGTAAACTTTTCTGTTTGGTATGTAAAACCCTTCACAGCCAGATTCCAAGCTGCCTTTCTAAGCTCATGATGTATTATTACTACCCTTCACATACTACAGTCAAGTCAAACTAATCTTCTTGCTGATTCCTCACACACAACATTCCCATTTCTGTGTCTTTGTACAGGCTGTGCCCTGTACCTGGAAGGTTCTCCCTCTTTATCTCTGCCTCGGAACCATAGCTTCATTCAAAGCTAAACTTAGACACCATTTCTTCCATAGTGTCTTTCCTGCCTACATCCCAAGCTCTTAGTGTCTCTCCCTCTTTCCAAAATTACCTTTGCATTGATTTTTCACTCATTTTATATGTATTTATATGAGTCCATGTTTCTCCCAATAGAATGTAATGCTCTCGAGGACAGAAATTGTTAAATTTTTTATCTCTGTATCCCCAGTGCCTAACTTAGTGCCCACATAGTAGGTATTTAATAAATGTATTTTTTATGGATTACTTTTTTCTTTAATTTGCAATAAAACTTTTGAGGGAAGTTGGTGTCAATACCTGGGGTGGTGTCAGATGACAAGGTTCTAGAACTTTTGAATAAGGACTACAAGTCAGAGAGACAAGAAATCCTCAATGTCTCCCCAGGTGCCTTAGTGTTCTGTGAAAGCTTCTAACACAGGTGTGCTTCAGTGCAAAAAAAAAATGGATTTAGGGTCACTGGACCAGTGTTCATGTTTTGGCCTAACTAGAAGACCTCGGGAAAAAGCCTTCTCTTCTGTTGCCCTTCCTCATATCTAGAAAGCCCCTTCTAGCTCCAAAGCACACGATAGTAACTTTAAATTTGCTCACTCCTACCTTGTGACTGGAGGACTTGTCACAAACAGTGGCTCCTAGGTATTTTTGTTCTCTTTTTTAAATGGAAATGCTTATTTTGTTTGGTGTTTGTTAAAGTCAGAATAAAAAAAAATAAAATAAAATAATCTACCTACTCATATGGCTACGCCTTCAAAAACTCCATGGTCTATTTCCTTTACTCCTCCAAGCTATATAATGAATCAGAGGATCAGAGGATCCTAGTATCTGGGAGTTGGAAGGGGCTTCAGAGGCCATCAAAAGGAATCCTCACTATAATGTAAGCAACAAGTGGTCATTCAACCTCTACTTAAAAGCCTCCAAGGAAAGGAAACCCACTACCTCTTGAGGAAGCCCATTAAAGACAGCTTTAACTGCTTGGAAAGTTTTTCAAGTGGGGCACCAAGCCTAAATTTGCCTATTTGCAACTTCTACCCATGGCTTCTATTACTCCTCTCTGAGGCCAAGCAGAATAAGGCTCACCCCTAATGGAAGCATCTAAATCTGATAGGGCCATCTTGGTTCCAAACACTCCTCAGTAGAGTCATGTACCCTTCCAAGATAATCTTTCTTTAAAGAGCCACAATTCCTTGGTATAACTTGCTAACTTTATTCATTATGGCTGCAAAGCATCTTCATGAGAGAAAACAGCTAGAAAATTAAAAGTCATTTCATTGGGCAAGAAGCTTTTATAAAAAGTCTTTGTGATGGTTATAAGAAGCACAATTAATGAGCCATGTCCCATTTTTAAAAGCCATTTGCCATGGTAGGGGTCAGAAGATTCTGCTTTTCTTGAACCAACTTCTAGTTAGAACACAAAACTCAACAAACAAAGATAAGATGGGCCAATTTCTCCACAAAGAAGAGAGTGTACAGATTCAGGGGGGAAAAAAATGAGAACAACAAAGAATACTGAGAATAAAAGCCAACAAGCTTACACCCAATTAGCAACCATCAGTGCTTAAGCAAAGGGGAAGGTACTAAATTAATAGGCTAGAAGCAATGTAACACACAATTAAATCCAAAGTTTATCAGCAGATTAGATAAAACTAAACTGGAAAGGCTATGTGCCTGCCTACCAAGGAAACTAATAGATTACAAATGCCAACTCATGAAAGAAAGGAATAATTCAATTCCCTCTCTTTGAACAGCTGTCCTCAGGTGTGTAGATACTCAACTAGCTCCTGTCCTTCAAGGGGCTAAGGGGGGGGGGGTGCGGGGGGCTGGAAGAGGGTGCTTTGCAAGAATCAGAAAAGAGAAGTAGCATTAGAGTAGAGAAGTATTTGCAGTTTTTAAAGCATTTAGGAGCCCTTTCTGGAAATCCTAGTTGGGGACTCAGAGTTTTAAAAGTTTATGCATTTATTGCTCCCTCTTCAAACTCCCTGTTATCTCCTGTTAGGAATTAGTTACATGTCACCCTGGGGTAATGAGTGGCTAACTGGCTTGTACAGATTCACATAACTAGTATGTACCTAAAACAGTATTTGAACCCCAACGTGCCAGACTGAGGCCAGCTGTCTTGAGTGCAGAGACCATGTTTTTGCCTTTTCTTGTATACCTAGCATTTAGCAAATGGGGGGTACATTGTTGCTGTTCAGTCACGTCTAACTCTTTGTGGCCCCATGGACCATAGCATGCCAATATTAGTCATTAGATTTTCTTGGTAAAGATATTGGAGTAGTTTGCCATTTCCTTCCTAGTGGATTAAGGCAGAGGTTAAGTGACTTGCCCAGGGTCATACAGCTGTCTGAGTATCTGAGGTCTGATTTGAACTCAGTTCTTCCTAACTTCAGGTCTGGCATTCTATCCACTGAGCCACCTAGCTGCCCCTTCTGGTAAACAGTAAGCACTAAATAAGGCTCATTTCCTCCATCACCTCAAGCGACCACTGCTGACCAACTACCACAGATAAGCGGCTAAGCATAAGAGCCCTAGAAATGGTAGAACTCTACCCCAAACCACTGGTGCTGTTTCCAGACCAACCCTTTCAGCTATCATCCAAGAAAATAGGCCCTGTGGAGAAGACTCCAGCCACCCTCACCAACTGCAACCTACAGGGAAGGCAAGCCAGCCTAGCTGAAGTAGCAGGACACCCAGAAGGAGAGAAAGGCAGAAGCATGTGGCAGGCAAGTCAAACCATCACTGCCACCATCACTTTGACCACCATTTACCCTCAAATGCTGAAGGATACAGCCCAGGACCTTGAACCCAAGAAATGAGAATAGCAATGCTTCTAGCCCAGCTTCTGCACTCATCATCCTGGGAAGCAAGCTCAGTATTAACGTAGCCTGGCAACTGCTCCTGTAGGTGCTGCTGAAGACCCTCCAAAATCCTTGGTACGGTCCAATCATTCAGCATCAGAAACTGATATCATTTTTAATCAGTGGAAATGACATTTGAGGAGAGGCATCACCACCTGTTTTTCCACTGCTCACATCAGACCTTTCCAAAGCTGAAACCTTTGATAAATCTCTCTCCCTCTCTCCACCATTAGAAAGTAAGCTCCTTAAGAGCAGGAACCATCTGGCTTTTCTAATTGCATTCCTTGAGCTTAGCCCAGTGCTTGGCACATTGTCAGTGCTTAACACATTCTTTAATCATTCATTCCATAAATGCTTGTTGACTAATTGTATCTGCAGGAGGATGAGGGCAGTTGGGATTGCTTTGGGGAAATTGAAAGCCTTCTTTATTGACATCAAATTTCTATCTGAATTAACAAGTCTTAAGCACGTATACTGTGCCAGGCATGGAGGATACAAGTACAAAGAATGAAACAGCCCTACTCTTGCGAAGCCTGCCTTCTGCTGGGAGACATAGCAAGTACATACGTAAGTATAAAAAGGATGAACATAAAGAAAACATGTACAAAGTAATTAATTACAAGGTAGCCAGAGAGAGAGGGCACTATCATGAAGGGCTTCTTGTGGAAGGTGGAGCGTAAGATGTGTCTTGAAGGGAAAACGAGATACTATGAAATAAGAGATAAGAAGAAGGGCTTTTGTTTTGTTTTGTTTTGTTTTTTGCACCAGACCTATGAATTCATTGGAATAGGGAACTCATAGACAGGAAACTTCTCTCCAAGTAGACAGGCCCTCTGAGCTTTAGAGACTTGCCTGGGGCACTGAAAAGTTAAATGACTTGCCCAGGGTCCTACAGTCAGTTTGTGTCAGAAGTAGGAATGGAACCCAGGGCTTCCTGACTCGAAGGACAATTCTTAATCTACTGCAGAAATGTGATCTATTATGTCTGTTTTCTATTATTACCAGCATCCCACTTTCATAAAGAATCTATAATACCATAGGTCCATTAACTCTCTCCTGTGATTTTGATCTTTTGGGTTTTTTTTATTTAAAATTAACTTCTTTTTAGTTTTCAACATTCACTTTCATAAGCTTTTGAGTTTTTTATTGTCTCTACCTCTCTCCTCTCCTCCTTCCCCAAGATGGCGTGTAATCTGATATGTGCTCCTTCCTTTTACAAACAAATCTCAAGATTTGTTCCTTATCAGTCCTTACTGGTTTCTAGCTGTCTCTTCTCTCTGGACCAGGTGCTCCTTCAGGAGAGGATGTCAGCCTTTCCCTACACCAGCTCATTGTCAACACAGCCTACTTTTCTTTGGGCTGCCATGGGGGGAGCCTGTTGGATTTAGAGTCCAAAATTCCTGGGTCCAGATGCCACCTCTGATGTGTTGTTGTTCATCCGTCATTCCCAAAGAGGACCAAGAAGCTCATGAGGATGATACCTTGACTCATGTGTGAATTGGATTTAAGTGAGGCAGAGATGCACAAGGTCATCAGCCTCACTGTCTCCTCCAGAGTCATCAAAGTCCAGTGGCAAGACAAAAGTCAAGATGACTGGCAATGGCCTGGAATGCAGTGGGTGACCTTGGCCTTTCGAAAGTAAGGTCTTTCCCAGACACTTAATAGCTGAAATCATCCTCATCAAGTCACTTTTTGAGCTTCAGTCTTCTCATCTATATGTTAGAGAGCCATAATACCAATGGTCCCTACTTCCCAGAGCTGTTCTAGGGCTAAAAAGAGATAATGGAGATAAGCACTTTGCAAACTTCCATAAATATATATACATCAGGTATTATGCTGGCCTGCATGCTAGAGGAAAATTCCTCATCAAGCGGTCCCCCAAAATCAATGAAATCACACATTCAGTCCTTATCCTAACACTATTATTATAATCAATTGCAAGTCACGTCCCCTGAGAAAGGTACATGAGATCATTTAGATGCTCAGCAGCAGATGCATTCCCATGTTGTGTACCAGTCCCTTCCAAAAACAGGTGGCAGAAACAGATGGAAGAATTAGAACTTGGTCCTCAAAGTGGAACGATGCCAAATCCTTAACATCTTGAAAGCATAACCCTAAACAACTGATTATTTGGGAGCTTAATAAAATGAAGAGAGTGAAACCAACTGTCTCTTCTTCCTGGGTATGGTCTTTCCCTATCCCATCCCTCGACAATCAAATCCAAGTAGGAGAGAGAAAGCAGTATAGTAAGACTAATGCTGATTCATAGTCAGTCATTCAATTAACATTTGTTAAGCACTCTCAGTGTGCCAGGCAGCATACTAAGTGCTAGGGAAACAAGGAAAAGCAAAAACATAGTCTTTGTCCTCAAGGAGCTCACATTCCAATGAAGGACAGGACGTTCAAATAATTATGTGTTTATACATATATAAAATATAGATTTTATGCATGTAAATATATACATGAATTTCTATTAAATATGATTACAAGTGAATATATACATGTTTTATAAATTCATACCTATGTGTGAATTTGTTTATATAAATTTATGTATGATGCATACATATTTGCATGTCCTTTCCCTCATTAAAATGTTTAAATAGATGATAGATAGCTAGATGATGTTTTATAGAGAAAATTATATAATGTGTGTGAATTTTCACTACACATATGTGTGTTTTTACATATATATATGTATATATATATATATACATATATATATGTATATATATATATATATACATATATATATATACATATATATATGTATATATATATATATATATACATATATATATATATAAAACATCCTCTGTGTGTGTGTGTGTGTGTGTGTGTGTGTATAGAGATAGATAGGTATAGGTATAGGTATAGGTATAGGTATAGGTATAGGTATAGGTATAGGTATAGGTATAGGTATAGGTATAGATCCACTACATAAAGCAAAATGGAATATCTTAGGATCATAGATTTAGAGATGAAAGAGAATTTAGGGGCCATTGAATCCAACCCCTGCATCTCACAGGTAAGGAAACAGGCATAACTAATCATCTTTCTACCTGGTAAGTGGCCATGGGAGAAGAGGGTGGGCTCATCTGGAGTTCAGTCATCAGGTAGAAGGAAGTATGCCTAAAATGACAAAGCAGGCAGTGAAGGAAGTACAACATGAGGCAATGTCATCAGCACCCTCTAGATTTCCTGCCCTGGAGCAAAGCCAATGTGCCAGTTGCTGCTCTGAGGGGAGCTCAGAAAGAACTGAAGAAGTCTTTGATGGTAGACTTGCCCTTAAAAGAAGAGATGGGTCAAGTAAACACAAACAAGAGGCATGATGGATGAATTCTCAAGTTCAGCCCCTGAAACCAAAGGAATTCTACCAGGCCCTATATTTATCCTTGCACTTCATATGCTCCAAGATGCTAGGGGTCTGCTCATTCTATTTGTAAAAAGATTCCATTTCCTTTGTCTACCTCAATAAATAATAATTCAGACTCCACCCACCTTGGGCCCTCAGAAGCTGTCTAATTCTGGACAGGGCCAATTTCCTGGGCCACAGCTACATGTACAACCTCATTTCCCAGAACCAAACTAGGCTGCAGAGGCAGCAGTGAAGAGGAGCCATATATTTTGTTGGATTCATTTTTGTATAAGTGAGCATTTCTGCAGTGGTTTGACTGCTATTAATCAACCCTGGATTTTGAGGTGGGCATGGCTGTATTTCTATTCCCAAAGATTCAGAATAAGACTGACATAATCTTCCTCTTTTAAATGAGATTATAAATCTAGGGCTAGAAACCTCAGGAAACAAAAAGTAATTTGTCTAAAGTCACACTGGCAAATCACAGGATTTGAACCCAGGGCCTCTGATTCCAACTCTTCATCTTGACTGATCTTCACCCAAAGCTTTTCTTGTGCTCCTCTAGCTAGGTGGCACAGTAGACAGAGATCTTGGCCTGGAGTCAGGAAGACTTGAGTTCAAATCTGGCCTCAGATATTTAATAACTGTGTGACCTTGGGCAATCTGCTGTTTAACTGCTGTTTGCCTCAGTTTCCTCATCTGTAAAATGGGGGAAATAATAACATCTATATCCCAGGACTGTTGTGAGGAAATGATAATTGTGAGGAAATGATCATCATAAAGTGCTTAGCATGGTGCCTGGGACATAGTAAGTGCTATGTAAATATTATCATCCTCATCGTCATTTAGCCTGTAACAATAGGAATAATGGCACTCATTTCTATACCACTTTAAGGTTTGTATTATTTCCTCACCACCTACTAACACATAGTAGGCACTTAAGAAACATTTCTTGATTGATTGATTGACAAAGGATTGTACTCACATCCAGGAGGCAGGAAGAAGAAACGATATGATGCCCATTTTAAAGATTTTTAAAAAACAACTGAGTCTCAGTCAGAGAGACTGAGTAGCTTCACCAAGGCAACACAGCTAATGATATCAACACAAGGCTTCCAACCCAGGTGTCCAGGCTCCACATCCTGTTCATCCTCTGAGACACTACTCCCATGCTAGCCCAGGACTCTCAGTCTGGAGGACCTGAAACAAGCTAGTAATAAGGAAGAGAAGAGTTTTTGCCAAGAACCCACGGAACTCAGATTCAGCAAAGACAAAAGGACAGAGTCTACTTCAAAGAACAGGAGATGACTTTGTGAAGTCCTTGAGCCTGAAGGTAAATTCTAGCTTTCTTCCCTTCCAGCCAAGTAAAAACAATGGCATCCACATGTAAAGAAACATTAATGTTCTCATTCTCACTTTCCCGGTCCACTGAAAAGGATTCTGCTGGAGTGGCAAGTGGAGATGTCTAATGGTGTCTGTTCAGAGTAGTTTTAATAGACCCCATCTGTTATCCATGTGACTGCTGAACACAATGGGCATTCCCTAAAGACTTTTATTTCCTTTTTCTTTTTCTTTTTGCAGAAGGAGCTCTTCAACCATGGGCTCTCCCACCAACTCTCCAAAAGGACTCCTACTGAACTGAATATGCTGCTTGCCTACAGGGGCCAGGAGCAAACTCCTGACAGACATAGCACAGAATGGCACCAGGTGACAGACAGCTGAAAACCTCTGAGGCCATTGGCTCAATGAATCATTCATACTATTGTTGTTCATCCTTCGTTTTCAAAGAGGACGAATGATATCACAGGGTCCTGTCTTCACATATATGACTTGGAATTAAGTCACGCAGAGTTGCACAATGGCATCACCCTCACTCTCTCTTTCAGAGTCATCAAAGTAGAGTAACAAGACAAAAGTCAGGATAACTGGTGATGGCCCGAGACCTTGGCATCTTGGGTGTCTGACCAAGCTCTAAGTGTTCCCCCAGCACCTACTTTAGCCATCTTCAAGGCTGTTGGAGTGAATTATCCTCATCTGCCCATACTGCTGGGGGGGAAGTCTTCACTTGCTTGGGGTAGACATCCTCCTAATTCATCAATGAGTTTGAGGCCTATTAGCTGTTTAGCCCATCTGCCGAAATGGTTTTAGTAGGGTTTGGCTACTAAACTAGTAAACTACTAAACCCAACTAGAGTTGGGTGAAGGTAGTAGACACCAAAGGTGGATGAGCAGCCCTGAAAATGGCTTAGCAAACCCTGCCACCAGAGGTGTTAGTCCTCCCTGAATATCCCATATTATACGGAAAGGGAATAAAAATGGGAAAATATAGCCATACTCTTAGCTCTCCCTAAAAGTCCTTTAACCCTACACTTTGAGCTCTCCACCACTGGAGATACACCACTCAAGTGTTATGATTAGAGTTTAAAATATGCATCTAATAAAAAAAAATTATGATTTGGGACACTTTATTGTAAACCTTCTAGAACAGGAATTCTTAACCTAGGATTGCTCCATGGTGCAGATTTCAGGGGGTCTGTAAATTTGGGGTTTTTTAAAATATTTTGATAATTGTGTTTCAGTATGATTGACTCCTACTGTAATTCTATTTATTTTATTTGATGCATTCAAAAACAGAATTCTGGGAAGGAATCCATAGGTTTTATCAGATTGCCCAATGGGTCACACAAAAAGTTAAGAACTTTCACTCTATAATCTAAATTGAGGGTGGCTGGGGAGAATACCTGTAGTTTTGCCAATAAACCCAGAACTGCAATCAGAAATAAATAATGCAAAAAAAAAATCTGTAATTCCATCATCATGTAGGTCACAAGTCATCTTGCCTTAGCAGATAAGTCCTAGGGAATTGCCTAATGCTCACAAAAGACCAAATAAATAATTTCAAATACACGAATTTGAAAAGCTTTTACAATAACAAAGTCAATGTCATTACAGAAGCTGCTGATCAGAGAGAAGAACATTATCAAATGTTCTCTGATAATGAAGCTAAATAGGAAATTAGCATAAATATGGAAGACCAAGAGCCATTCCTGATCAGATAAATAAATAGTTAAATGAAATGAATAAACAGTTC